TATGGGGGATGGGAAGTAATTCAGCACTCTGCGTGCTAAAGGACGTGCCCCAGGGGTTCAGGTAGCCCTGCACAGTAGTGCAGCTTTTCTGTGCCACTGGGTCTGGAGGGTTTTCCTCCCACTGACTGTTGTTGGAGGCATCTCTGTAACAGTTCTTGTGCTGCCCTCCAGCAAAATCCTCGTGGCCTGTTGTCCTGCTGATGCACAGCTAGGAGCAGGAGAAGCAGAGCTGGCAGCAAAGAGAGACTGATGGAAAATCCCATCTGGTTTAATTTTGGGAAGCTGGAAGGAGATGAAGGTGGCAGGAAATGTTGTCTAGCATGTGTGCTGGCAGCTGCTTGCATTGGCTCGAGCTTGAAGACACACTTTCCCTTGTGGCTGCTTGGTGTTTGTCACCGCAGGGATGAGGGGTTCTCTCTCTGTCAGTGTCACTGTTGCACGTGAAGGTGTTTGGCTGAGAGCCTGTTTGTGTTTTGTTTTCCAGTACCCATAGTCCTGAAGTACCATACCTGATGGTGGGTCAGCTGGAGGCTTCGGTGGAGCTGGCTGTGAGATAAACAAACTGCTGTGTAACTTAAGTGAGATATCTGTATATAGCTTTAAAGTTGTTTTTCTCCAAGGAGCAAGGAGGCAGCGGCGGCAAGTAGCCAGTTCTAACAGAGCATTTTGAGAACTGCCAACTGACCCTTTCTTATTTTATTTTTTTTTTCTTTGGTCAAGTACCTGCTCCTGCTGCCAGACTTTTATAACAGAAGATTCATTTCCCAAACTGCCTGCTTTGTGGAATGCTGGGTCTCTGATTTGGAGCCATCTACTTGCCACTGCGGTTTATCTGTATATATGGTTGAGTTGTAAAAATACTTCAAATTTGAGCAGTTCCTTGCTTCCTGCTGTGGAAGGCAGAGGGGACTCTGTCTTTTCATCGGGGTGAAGGAGGAGAAGAATATCTAGGGAAACACACCATTATGTTCCAGGAGACCGACCCTTCTGTGGAGAACTGTAAGGGTATTGTTTTTCTCATGTTACAAAAGAAAAAAAAATAATAGTTAAGTTTTACAATCCATGGGAATGCACAAGCTCAGTGTTTTCAGTTGTTGCTGCTTACAGATGTGACTAAAGACATTCCAGTAAACCTATTTTTGACTGTACATGTGAAGTTACTGCACTTGCCTTCTCTCAACTGCTGGGAATCCCCAGGAACGGAGCTATGTTGGTGTTTTCATAACCAGAAGGAAGAAGCATGTAAAGGCCAGCTCTCTGTTATCCCAGTGATACAAGACACAGCAGGAAGATGACAACTGTCCTTATATCGGCCCAGAATAAACCAAGCCCACTTTATACTGAGAGCCCTTCACCTTGGTGCTGTCAGTGGTGGTGGTTGTGAATGCCAGCTTGTTTTGTTTCCTTGCAACCGAGTGGGGCAGGGGCTGTGTCCAAGCCTGGCAATTTGGTGTGGTGTGGGCTGTAGTGCTGGACTAAATGGGAGTGAATGTCCTCCATCCACAGGTAGGACTGTTTTGGCACAAGAGCCATGAGTCCCCTTCTGTTTGACTGCAGCTTGGTCTCAGGCACTGGTGGCATTTCTGTCTGCACTTTATTTTGTGACCCTAGTTCCTTCCTGCACTGAGCCTAGAACTTCAGCTGAAATCACTCTCCTGTTTTTTCTCACTCTCCTGGTTCTTGTGCTGTTTCTTTTCTGCTGACGAGAGGAACATTGTCCTTCCTAGTCTGTGTCTGAAGGAATTTTACTGGGGCAGAAGGGGAAATAGTGCCCCCGAGAATTTCTTATGCCACCACCCAGCCTTCCCTTATGGACCTGCCCCCAGGACCTCATGCACAGTTTCCACCTGAGTGGTGGTGCTGCTCCATGCAGAGAAGAGGATTAGAAGTGAGCACAGCAGGCTGGAGTGCTAGATGTGATTACAAGCTCTACTTACTCTGCTTGTGTATAAATAGTGCTTTTCCCTTTTGTGTGCCTTGTTCACTCCAGGTGGGAATCAGAAAGCCAAGCTGGGTTTTTCCTCCTAACACGTTGCCACGTTTTTTAGATCCTGAGGGCAAAATCATGCATTCAATGGAAGAGGTAAAAATCACCCAGGCTATGCCTTTGGCTGTTCTCCAGCTGCAAAAGATTGAGAGGGTAGATGAAGGGGGATTTTGTCTGTATTCAGCAGGGCTGCAAGACTCACTGGAGTATTGGGGGCCTTTTCCTGCCAGCTGGAAAGTGAGAAGCAGCACTGTGAGCCCATGTTATGACTATGCTTTGCCTGCTCTTTTGCTGCCTATGAGAGGCAGGTTTTACTGTTGAAGGCCCTACTGGCACCTCTGGCATTCTCTTTAGGACTCATCTTGCACGTGCTGCTGCTACTTACAGAAGGACCTAGATGCTGCAAGAATGTGTCAGGACTTCACATCCATCCTGAGCTGGACCTTGGTAAATGGATGCTGGTTATGCTGGTTGCATGAAGGCCTCTTGGTGATCCTGCTGTATTAAATAATTGCTACTAGCTGCCAAACGTAGGAGCTTCTGCTACATCCTTCTCTCTTGCCTCCTCCACTGAACCAAGGAACAGCTACAGCTTGGCTCCCTGGGGACTCTATTCCCTGCCTGGTGCAGGTATTGCTTTGGAGTGGCAAAGATGGATGTGAACTGCAAGAACGACAAAACCATCTGTGCAGAGCTCTGTCCTTGCTGGGTTTGGTGGGTATCTGCCAGCAGCCTGTCCATAGAAAGAGTTTCCAGTTTGCATTAAATGATCCCTGTGAGCACGAGCGTACTGCTCTGAGAATAGCTGTCCTTAGCCAGGTCACAGCAGTAAGCTGCCACAGAAAGGTGCAGATGCATTTTCTGCTGACCTAGATCCACAGAGAAGGAGCCTTACACCCTCCTCCTGTGTTCATCCTCCGATAGCAATGGAACTGAAGCAGGTGCCCCCAGGGCACCTGGAAAGCTGGCTTGCTTCAGTTCTGGCCAGGTGGTTTTGCAGTCTCATGCAGAAGGTTGGGGTGTGTTTGTACATAAGATGTTGGGCAGAGAAAGCTGCCAAGGACCTCAGCACTCCACTCTCCTTTGGTTTGCCAGGATGGTGTTTTAGGTTCAAGACCCTGAGCAGCAGGGTCATCCTAAGCACAGACCTTCTCAAGAGACTGTCTCTTGCTGGAAAACAGAGTCAACAGCAAATAACAGTTCTGTTGACAGTGACAAAATTTATCAAGCAGTTTATTGCTTTTCAAGGCTGAAAAGGTCATTACAGTATCTAGTCTCAGCTATGTTATGGAGCAGTCCTCCTTGTTCTCCTTAACACTGCCTTGGTCTTTATAGTCCTGCCAGGGCCTGACTGCAGGGAGAGCTGCAGTAATAGGGAAGGGCTATTATTCCCAGCAGGGATGAGAAGAAGCTGCCTGCGTGCTTTGGGCTTGGTTTTCACTTAGGAGATGTTATGAAGAAGATTTCACAACAAAAATAACTCCACCCAAGCATAGTGTCTGTTTTATCCATTTCCTTTTTGCCCAGATCTTCTCATTAGCTGCTGTTTTCCACGCGATTGGTTTTCACAGGGAGTGGTGTGCCTTGGCTGGTGCTTTATGATCCTCCTGCAGAGCTGCTTCTCCTTCCCAGGCTTGTTGGTGGGACCCTTTCCTCCTGCAGGGCTGCTGCTCCCTCCAGGCTTGCCAGTGGGACCTGTGCGGTGGGACGTGGGGGTCCCTGCGCCTATGGATAGGAGGCTGCAGAGATGGATGGCTGCTGTGCTGAAGCAGGAGGGACAGGCCTCTGTGCTCCTGGCTCTGCTCTTACAGGAAGAGAAAGTTCTCCCTTGTGAAGCCCTTTGTAAAATGGAGTTTCAGGGACAACAGTGTGTGAGGAGGGGTGCCGGGTTCTGCAGTGACATCCCGGGATCCTGCGTATGGGCAGGACAGGGCAGTACTCTCTTATGCCTTTTGGGCACTGAGTGTTGGGGCTCAGGATGGCCAGTAAGACAATCAGAGGGCTGGAGCACCTCACCTATGAAAAAGGTTGAGGGAACTGGGCTTGTTTAGCTTGGAGAAAAGAAGGCTCCAGGGAGACCTCATTGTGACCTTCCAGTACTTGAAGGGAGTATATGAACAGGAGGGGGAACGGCTGTTTGCAAGGGTGGATAGTGATAGGACAAGGGGGAATGGTCTTAAACTGAGACAGGGGAGGTTTAGGTTAGATATTAGGAAGTTTTTCACACAGAGGGTGGTGATGGACTGGAACAGGTTGCCCATGGAGGCTGTGGATGCCTCATCCCTGGAGGTATTCAAGCCCAGGCTGAAAGTGGCTCTGGGCAGCCTGGTCTGGTGGCTGGCGACCCTGCACATAGCAGGGGTTTGAAATTAGATGATCACTGTGGTCCTTATCAATTCAGGCTATTCTATGATTTCTGTAGGGCTCAGCTCCTCTCCCAGGGTTACAGCCAACACAGAGCTCTGTCTCTGTGATGCATCTGGGTAGGATTTGATTTGTTTTTGTACAAATTAAAAGAGTAGGACACACAAGGGAGCATCCTTTGACCCTGTTTTTACGACGGGCCAGTTGCTCCCGCAGGTGTGTGCAGAAGAATGAAATCTACTCGCTCCCACGCAGGAAATCTGCAGTCGCACCAAGCTCGCAGGCTTGCCAGAGCTTGGAGTAAACAGCAAGGCGTGGAGCGCAGCCCAGGGCCCAGCTCCATCATCTCCATGGCTTCGGGGAAAACAGGGCAGGGAGAGCTGGGCGCCGTCCCCGCCTCCCGCATCCGTGGCCCGGCGCCGATCTGAGGGGGCCTGGGGAGGAGCGCGACCCGGCCGGGGCCGCCGAAGCGGCAGCGGAGACACCGGTCTCCATGGCGACGCGGCAGGTCACGCGAGATCGCTTCGCGCGATCCCGCGCACGCGTACCCGCAAAAGCAACGCGCCTGCCCGCGGAGTCTCGGCCGTTCCCATTGGCCGGGTGCTACCGAGGGTCACGGCGCCGCGGCTGGTGATTGGCTGCTCAGCGCGCAGGCGTGGGTCGGCATGGCGGCACCGGTGCGGAGGAGCGTGGTGTTCGTGACGGGCAACGCTAAGAAGCTGGAGGAGGTGGGGGGCGGTCGCCTGGCGACGAGCGGCCTTGGGGCCCGCGGGCCCAAGCGGAGGCCCGAGAGCGGGATCGGAGGTGGGGCTGAAGGCCGTGCTTCCCCCTTGCCTCCCGTAGGTCACTCAGATCCTCGGGGACTCCTCTCCGTACACGTTGGTGGCGAAGAAAATTGACCGTAAGTTGGTGGGGGGAGGGGGGACGACGCGGCGCGGCCCGGCCGCCTCCTCTTCAGCGACTGCCCGTGTGTGTCCCCAGTGCCCGAGTACCAGGGGGAGCCGGACGAGATCTCCGTGCAGAAGTGCCGTGAGGCCGCCCGGCAGGTCAGCGCCTCCCGGTTCGCTTCGGCTGTTTGGGGAGGGTGGGGTCTGGCTGCGGCCCTCACCGCTGCCGTGTCCTTCCTCCGAGGGCAGGCGCTGCCCTTAGACAGCACTGCTGCCGCCCCCGTGGTCTCTCGTCCCCACAGCGACGAGCAGACGCGATGTGTCCCTCAGTGCGGCCCTGGCGGCTGTGGGCTGCAGAATTTTCCACCTGTTGGAGCTCGTGCTGGGCACTTCCACTGCTCCGTTAGGGCGAGGGCTGTGCAGCTTTGCTCATTTTGTTGTGTGGGAGGACCTCCCTGCCATCGCTCAGCCCCTGCTGGGGATGCAGTGGGCTGTGTGGTGAGGGCTGACACTGAAGGGAGGGCTTTGATTGCTGCTGAGTTGTTCTTGTTATCTAGGGTGCATGAGACCAGCACTGAGTAGGGAAATGAGTCTGGTAGTACCTTCCTTGAGGCATGATATTGCTTTTGCTGCAGATTCGGGGGCCTGTTATAATAGAGGACACCTGCTTGTGCTTCAATGCCCTGGGGGGACTTCCAGGACCATACATGTAAGTAGATGGGAACCTGCCTCACTTTTCTCCTCCTAGAGCGAGGAATACAGCTTGGCAGGATGAGCTTCACAGGGAACACTCCATGCACCAGGGGTAGTAGGGTCAGGGAGGTGCACTGTATCCTCTGTTTAATTCTGCATCCTGTGGGCAGGACATGAGGAGTGCTGTAATGCACTGTACAGGACAGGAGAGACAGATCTGAACTGTTGCCTCATGTTCCCAGTCTTGGGTGCCTGCTCTTGCAGCTTGGGAGCTCCACACCAAGCTCTGAGACACCAGGTGTGTCAGGAGTGCTCTTATGTGAATGTCCCTTAGATTCTCATAAGGGCCTGTTTTGATCCTGTTGGTACAGGATTGTTACATTGCTGTGTATTTCTTCTATTAATGTACGCTCTTAGTTCCTAGGATTATCTTTTGCTGTGATTAACTTTTTCAAACTCTCTGCTAAGCTAATCAGAGTCATAAAAGCAGTGTGCACTACAAATGAGTGTAAAATGTGAACGAGTGGAATCAAGAAATGTATTTTAGCTTGTTCATGCTCGTGAGAACTGGGTTATTTGCACAGAAGTTAAAATTAAATACCCCACCATTGTTTTCCCATTCCCATGTCCCTATGTCCCATTTAATTTAAGAACTAGGTTTGTTTTCATTTGTAAATAGCCCAGAATGAGGTGATTTGACAATCCCTATTTAATAGGGATTCAGAGAGCTGTGAAAACATAGGCAACAGTGCTTCAAGGATGGTTGTGTTTCTGAATAATATCAGCAAAAATTTGTCTTTCCTCCCTTTTTTTCCCCCTTCAGAAAATGGTTCCTGGAAAAGCTCAAGCCAGAAGGTACTGCCTCTTGTAGCACTGTCTGCATGTAACTGTTCTTTCCAGGCTTGGGCTGCCATGCACAAATGTGCCATGGGAATCCCTGCCTGTGCTGTGTGCTGCTGAGTGTGCTCCCCCACCTGGCTGCCTGCTTCATTGCTGGTTCCTTTGTCTGTCCAACTCTGTCCCTTTGTGCTCTCTCTCTTAGACTGTTCTGCTCCCTTCCTCACTGGATGTTGTTTCCCCTAGGAGCTTTGGCATCATCCTTGCGTTGCTGGGTTCCCAGACTTCTGCCCCCGCGGGCTGGTGGCAGGGTGTGTGGGAATTGCCTTTCACAGAGGTAACCTGGAAGACCTGTGATCTCTGGCTTCTATACTGGCATCATCAGCAGGAGTGTTAATCACTGTGATTGACAAGGGGCTTTAGTCATTCTGAGGCAATGCACTTCTTTGTTTCTGCTCCCAGATTAATGCGGCTCAGGGATAGGATGGCTTCAGCCGAAAGCATGGGTTCAGCTTAGCTTTGTTATGCCTGTGGTTCTTCCTCTCCCTCGTCCATGTGAATGCAGAGCACTCCCTTGATCCGTCTCTAGGTGGGTGTCTTGTGCTCTCCTGGAATCACACTGACACCAGGATCCTCTCTGTGTTGCTCAGGCCTGTACAAGCTGCTGGCTGGATTTGAGGACAAATCTGCCTATGCTCTTTGCACCTTTGCATTCAGTACTGGAAACCCAGAGGAGCCCGTGAAGCTGTTCAAAGGCCAGACACATGTAGGTGGGGTTGTAATGTGTATTTTGTAATAGCATTGGCTCTGTCAAGGAGTCAGTGAGTGAGGTAACTGCTTGGATTGCAATTGTTAGTTCTCTCGGTCTGGGAGGTGTGGAGGGTAGTGAAGGGGCTGCCAGCAAACAGCACCCTGAGGAGCACTGACTTTGGCACTGCTAATTTTGGTCATGTTTTGGGGGAGTGCTGAGAAATTAGGGCAGCATCAAGCCTTTGGTGGGTGGCCACAACTGTGGCTTTCTGAGTGCCACTTTGCAGCTTGTGTTTCAGATGTGACTGCACCAGCAGTGCTGAGGAACCACGACTTACAGGGCTCTGGCTTTTTCATGGTAGGGGGTAATTGTTGAGCCCAGAGGTCCTCGAGATTTTGGCTGGGATCCCTGCTTTCAGCCTGATGGCTATGACCAGACGTAAGTGGCTTTTTACCTACAGCACTTCATGGGAATTTTAAGAAAAGGAAGGGATGGGAGCTGTGTTTGTTTCTGTACTTAGAGGAACCGCATACAAGCAGTGCTGGCAACGTGAAGACACTGTTCTGGGTCTAAATAGGGTTACAAAGAAACCCAGCATCAGCATGGGGGTCCTTGATTTTGCCAACATGTATCACTGCTAACATCCCCACTGTGGTTGGGCAGCAAAGCAAGGCAAAGGGGAGGTGTTGGGGACATGTTGCAGCAACTCATCTGCTGAGGACTGCTTTGGTTTCTTCCCACTCCAGCTACGCTGAGCTGCCCAAGGCTGTAAAGAACTCAATCTCACACCGGTACCGTGCGCTGAGCGAGCTCTCTGCCTTCTTCCTTCAGAGCAACCCAACAGAGGCCCCCTCCAATCCCAGCTAGCATCTCCGTGCCCGCAGACACTGGATGCTCTACTTTTCATATACAGCCCTGCAAGGTCTCAGTTCGGTCACATGCTTATATTAAAGTTGTTCACGGTGAAGCCACGAATACTGTTTGGTTTTTTTTCTTCCCTATTTGTGTTGCTTCAGAAATGCCTGTAGAACCCAGGTGCGCGTTAATTAAGGTGCTGAGATCATTGTATGTTTGTGCCTCGCGGGAGGCTTGCAGGTGCAGTTACGTTCGAGGCCTTCCACCATCTTCACGCAGGTTCTACCGATGAAAACATCAGAGCCGGAGCCGCCTGTTCGCCTGTAGCCGCCGCCTCTCCGGGCCGGGAGAACGGGCGTTCGGCGCGGCTGTTCCCCGGGCGCGCTACCTATGCGGGAAGTACCGCCCTTCTTGAGCGGAAGCCAATAGGAAGCAGCCGGGGCGGGGGCAGCAACCAATCAGCGGCGCGGACGCTGCGCTCAATGGGAGCGCTGCGCGCTCGGATGCCGTCAGTGGGGGCGCGGTACGGGAACACGTGTTCGGGACCGGCCTCGGATCGAACCGAACGGCCGAACCGGGACCATGGAGCTGCTGCCTCGCAGCCCCGGGGAGTTCGGCTCCGCGCGGTATTGGGACCGGTTCTTCCGACAGCGCGGGCAGCGGCCCTTCGAGTGGTACGGGGCGTTCCCGGAGCTGTGCCCTGTGCTGCTCAAGTACGTGCGGCCCCGCGACAAGGTGAGGCCCGGTTCTCCTCTCCCGGTTTGGCGTGCTTCTTATCGCACTCTGCCGATCCCCCGGTTCCGCCCGGGTTGCTCTCCACATCTGAGCTTTGTTTGTCATTCTCCCCCCCCCCGGCCGCCCGCCCCTGCCTTGCAACACAGTGCTCCATACTCAGCTGTCAGGCCTTGGCACAAGAAATATGTTTCCAGTGTGCCATAGCAAGAAATCAGAAGATACCAGATGTTGTTCCACCATGGCATTAAATCATCGAGATAATCCCCAAAAGCGAGGCAATGTAGGCACGTTGCTTCTGTGCCCATGTGCCATGCCTTTATGGAATGATTGTTAGGGCCATGGGGAGTATCTGGAGGTGCTATGGATGTGGTTCTTGCTGAGGGCTCCTGGTTAATGTCCCATTGTTGCACTGTAAAACGTTTTGAGATGTGTATGCAGGGCACCCTCACCATCGCTGCTCCTCTTGTCCCGCTTCCCAGGTTCTTGTGGTCGGCTGTGGGAACTCGGAGCTGAGCGAGCAGATGTACGACACAGGGATGTGTGAGGACATTGTGAACATTGACATCAGCGACGCCGTGATCCGTCAGATGCAGGAGCGGAGCACGAGCAAGAGGCCAAAGATGAGCTACCTGCAGATGGACATGCTTCACATGGACTTCCCCGATGCCCACTTCCAGGTGGCCCTCGACAAAGGCACGCTGGATGCCATACTCACCGATGATGAGGAGGTCACTCTGGCCAAGGTGGACAGGATGTTTGCTGAGATCAGCCGGGTCCTGCAGGTGGGAGGGCGCTACCTCTGCGTCTCCTTGGCTCAAGCCCATGTGCTGAAGAAAGCAGTGGAATACTTCTCCCAGGAGGGCTGGGTAGTGCGTGTTCATGAAGTGGCCACCAGCGGAGACAAGCAGCAGTTTGTCCTGCCGGTCTTTGTCTACGTCATGACAAAGTTCAGGAAGATCCCTGGCTCTGCACTGCAGATCCTGGAGATCTGCTCCGAGGAGCAGGACAAGCCACTGCGATTGGAGAGCACAGAGCGGCTGGTGGAGGCAGTGAAAGACAGGCAGCACTACGCCCTGCTCTGCAGCCAGGTCAGCAAAGCCCCCTGTGGGGAGCAGCTTTCCCTGGATCTGTGCGATAAAGCCAGTGGGAGGCCCCGCTACACACTGCATGTAGTCGACAGCCCTGCGGTGAAACTTTCCCGTGACAATCGCTTCGCCATCTTCATCAGTGAGTACAGCCTTGCCTGCAAAGAGACAGCACTCCGGGAGCTGCTATAGCAGCAGTGGTCCTGGTCTGCTGGAATTGGAGCTGAAGAGGGAAATCATCTGTCCCTGTGGGGTTTGGTTGGGGTTTTACTCACAGAGATTTGTCAAGCTCTGCCAGAAGCCTTGTTAGCTTCCTGTGTGTCTGCAGAGCCTGAGGCTCAGCACAAACCGCAGATAAGTTTTGGGGCTATTGGACACCCCTTTACCATGAGATATGGCTCCTACACAAGCCTGCCCAATTTGAGAAAGGTCCTTTTGATCACTGATTGTGCAGCCTCGCTCTAGGCATAAGGCATAAGGCAGTGCTGCCTCCTTGTGAAATCTCTGTACCCTACAGTTCCTCTCCAGTGTGGTTGTGCAGGGGCCAGCACCTGACTGGGGCTCTCCTGACCACATCCCCCGTCTGCAGTCCCACAGGGCAGAGAAACCGAGTGGCTCTTTGGGACGGAGGAAGGGCGGAGGCAGCTGGCTGCCAGCGCGGGCTTTGGGCGCCTGGTCACCGTGGCCCTGCACAGGGAGCAGCACTACGAGGGCATGGCCAGCATCCAGGCAGAGCTGTCGGGGAAGGTGATGGAGCTGGCCCCGCCGGGCCTCCCTGCCCGGCAACAGGTGAGCTCATTCACTTGGCTTTCTTTCTTTCCCATTGCCCGGGCCAACCCCAGAATGCCAAACACATGCACGCACACACACACACACACACACACACACACACAAAAAGGCCATCCCAAAAACTAGAGAGCATCTAGCTCAATCTTTCCACCTTTAACTTCTTCCATCTCTTCTGTCTTTTCTTTGTTGCACCAAGCTCTCTTGTAAAAGGCCTTCGTGTGCTGGCTTGCTGTACCCCAACATAGATCAGGATGAGCCCAGTGTCCTGTGCACTGTGTACAGCTCATCCTGCTGCTCTCCAGATACGTCAGCTTCATCCTACCCCTCCAGACACAGTCCCTATAGCCTGGACGCCACGAGTCTCTGTCCTCCCTGCAGGTGCCCTTCCTGTCTGTGGGAGGGGACATTGGGGTGCGGAAAGTATGGCACTGTGGCACCAGCTCCCTGAGTGGGGAGTTTGTCGTGGAGGACGTCAAGGGGAACGATGCGTGCTACTTCCGTCGCCTTGTCTTCCTCAGCAACAGGAACGTGGTGCAGTCGGAGGCCCGGCTCCTGGCCCCTGCACCTCCCCCAGGTATGCTGAGGAGATGGTTAGGGACAGGGCAGGACCGAGGGTGACTTTGGGTGGTAGGGAGTGAGATGAATGTGAGGAAGAAGATGAAGAGTCACGCTGGGTCCTGTCTGTCTTGTCTCAGTGCAGATGTGGATGGGGTTTTGCTCTCTGCGTTGCTGGTGGGACTTGGGTTTGGGGTGGTCAGTCCCCAGAAAGTACCCCTGGCTCCAGCCTCCTCTCTTTCAGGCCAGAAGAAACGGAAGAAAGACAAGAAGAAGCCTTGCCCTGCAGAGCCTCCTATGGCAATTGACAAGAGCTACCTGTGCTGTGAGCACCACAAGGCCATGGTGGCAGGGCTCTGCCTACTGGGCAGCTCTGACCCCCTGCCAGGTGATGAGGTGGGAAGGGTTTTTCAGCCTGTGAAGCCAGAAGCAGCTTGGGGCAGGTGGGATGTGATGGGCAGAGGGAGTGTGGCAGTCCTGGCAGCTCACCTGGGCTCTGTCCCCTGGCAGGAGCCCCAATTGCAGTGCTGGTGGTGGGACTTGGTGGCGGCAGCCTGCCCCTCTTCGTCCATGACTACTTCCCGCAGGCCCGTGTGGCTGTAGTGGAGATCGACCCCTCCATGCTGGAAGTGGCCAAGTGCTGGTTTGGCTTCTCCCAGGATGACCGGATGCAGGTGCACATTGCTGATGGCCTGGACCACGTGGCCAAGCTTGCAGCTGAAGGTACTGTCTTGCAGAGCTTTAATTCTATTTCCTGTCCTGCCCTCCTACTGGTTTCCAACTCTGCCTCTTGCCTCTTCCTGTGCTAACCTGTCCCTCCACAGCAGCCATGTTGTGGGATGGTGTTCCCCATGTTTCTCCAGCACCTCATGCCATGTGTCACAAGCTCCAACCTTGACAGGTCCCTGCAGCAAGCAGACTTGTCCTTGTCAGTGTGTGTGCAGGGGACCTTCTATTTGCTGTCTTTCCCCAGTCCAGAAGGTGCTGTCAGAAAGAAGCAGCTGGAAGTGGCAGAGGGGGGAGCCTGGCCACTATGTTCGCTGCTTCCCGACCCAGTGTGGCTCATCCCTGTGCCATGGAATAATGAGTCCATGTTCCTTCTTGCAGCCCCAGCTCAGTATGATGCCATCATGTTTGATGTGGACAGTAAAGACCTCACATTGGGAATGAGCTGTCCACCTCTGGCATTCGTGGAGAAGCCCTTCCTGGAGAAAGTTAAAACCATTCTCAAGCCAGAAGGTATGAGGTGGGCTCTGATGGCGGTGCGCTTGCAAGAGCCAGGGCTGGGCTGGTTGGTCCTGGACAGGGTCTGGGTGGTGGGTTCCTCATCCTGGAAAGCAGTGGCTGTGCTGCTGTGACTGATGTGTGGCAGCTATCTTTCCCAGCAAATCCCAGCTCCCAGTGACGTGGAGCTGGGCCAAGGGCACTTGTTGTGCTGCCCAAAGCTGCATGTGAGATGGAGCTGGTAGCACCAGTGGTACTGATACAGCTGTTTGTGTAGAGAGGGGGTGTGCATGGAGGCCTGTGCAGGATGCCAGGCTCATGGGTGGCACTGTCCTGAATGCCTCTTTCTCTACTGCAGGGGTCTTTGTGCTCAACCTGGTGTGCCGTGATGCTCAGCTGAAGGAGTCTGTCCTGGCCACCCTCAGGGAAGTTTTCCCCCTGCTCTATGCACGCCGCATCGATGAGGAGGTCAATGAGATCTTGTTCTGCCAGCCGAACCCCAAGAGCCGGCGGGACCCTGTGGAGCTCACAGTGCTTGCCCAGGCACTGGAGGGGTCAATGCAGCAGTTGGGGCACTCTTGGGACAGTTCGTATGCGCTGGCAGACATGCTGCAGGCCATCACCATCCTCTGAGAGGTGCCCTGATACCACTTGAGCAAAAGGAGTGCCTGCATGGTGCTGCTGCTGGGACATTGTTGACCCTGCAGGGAGCCAGTGCTGGCCTGGTG